CACAATCTCCTCTCCAGAGCTTGACTTCTTGCAGCCTTTGCAGGGAAATCTGTGCTGGCAGCTGCATCTTGAGCCCGAGGGCAGTTTGTATCCCCGAGTGCTGATCCAGCCTGGGGACCCAAGGGATCCTCTGCTATTCCATCCATGCAGCAGGAGTCACCCTCCTGCCCTTGACTCCTTGCAGAGGAACAAGTGCCATCTCTCTGTTTGGGAGAAGCCAGATGCTGCCCCTGGGCCATCAGAAGTGGTGCTGAAGCCTCTTTCAGCCCAGCCCCGGGTGCAGTTTTCTCATCCCCTCAGCGAGTGCCCGCTCCCCCAGCCGGCACTGACCAACCAGGGCGTTTGGCACATTTGGTTTGGTGGTTTGGAGAAACAGCCTCGGACTGTCAGGGAGCCAGAGGACCTCAAGTAACAGCCCTGGCGAGGTGCCCACACTGGCAGGGGGCCAGGGGATCACTGCTCCACGGAACTGGCTGGAGCTCTGGGTGAGCCTGAGCTGAAGGGCCTGTGACCTGTGGATGAGTCCAGGATGGAGCAGAGACCCCCCTGCAGCCCGGGAGGAGCCCACACCGGAGCAGTGGATGCCCAAAGGAGGCCGAGAGCCCGTGGGAAGCCCCTGCAGAGCTGAAGGAGCAAAGCCCTGGTTTCCAGGGCTGCCCCCCCACCCCAGTTTCTTTTGTGACAGTTTTTTTGGTCTAATCTTCATATTTTGGAGTATTTTTTAGCCGAATCTCAACTTTTTGCAGTTTGAGGGGGCAGGGGTCTTCCTGCTATTTTTGAGGGTTTTTTACCTGAATATCGATGGTTTGGGTTTTTCTGGGCTGAATCTTGGTGTTTTGGAGGTTTTTATGGACACAGGATGCCCAGTGAGTTCTAGAGATGGACTTGGGCAGGAGGAACCCTCAAGCCAACGCACTCAGCCCTTGTTTTCTCCCCATCAGGATTTGTCCTTCCCAAAACTTGGGTGGATGGAGGAGGAGGCTGCGAGGAAGAGGAAGATGCCTTGGGCCCCCCAGGCAGGTGAGGAGGAAGTCAGTGTCCCTTTGGGCGGGTGTTGTGCTGGCTCTGGCAGCCGAGCATGGCCCCCGGCTGCAGGACAACCCCGCTGCCGCCGCCGTCCTGCCGGGGCCGGAGTTGGGGGGATGTCCTTGGCCTTCCCTGTGGGCCGGAGGCAAATCCCCTCCCTGTCCTTCTTGCTTCCTGCCCCAGGCCCCGAGCTGAGGATGGAGAGCCCGGAGGACAAATCCCCCCGTGAGACCCTGGTGGGAGAGGCCGTTTTGAAGGGCTCCACGGTGCAGGAAGGCAGCGGGGAGGAAAAGGCCCAGAGATCCCCCCACAGGAGGGGCTCCAAAGCCAGCCCAGGGTGCTCTGAGGAGGAAAGACCCAGCCTGTGCCGGGAAAGCGGCTGGAGCTTGAGGGGGAGCTCTGACCTGGTGGTCCCTGAGCAGCCTCCCAGCAGGCAGAAGCCCTTCAGGTGCTTGGAATGTGGGAAGAGCTTCAGGAAGAGCCCCGACCTGCTCCGACACCAGCACATCCACACTGGGGAACGGCCCTACAGGTGTGGAGAATGTGGGAAGAGCTTCAGGACCAACTCCAACCTGATCCGGCACCGTCGCATCCACACTGGGGAACGGCCCTATTCGTGTGACGAATGTGGGAAGAGCTTCAGGCAGAGCTCCCACCTGATCCAACACCAGCAAATCCACACTGGGAAACAGCCCTACATGTGTGGGGAATGTGGGAAGAGCTTCAGTAACAGCTCCAACCTTCTCACCCACCAGCACATCCACAGTGGAGAACAACTCTACATATGTGGGGAATGTGGCAAGAGCTTCAACCAAAACTCCAAGCTGATCCGACACCAGCTCATCCACACTGGGGAACGTCCCTACACGTGTGGGGAATGTGGGAAGAGCTTCAGGGACAGCTCCACCCTCCGCACCCACCAGTACATCCACACTGGGGAACGTCCCTACATGTGTGGGGAATGTGGGAAGAGCTTCAGGGACAGCTCCACCCTCCGCACCCACCAGTACCTACACACTGGGGAACGGCCCTATACATGCGGGCAATGTGAGAAGAGCTTCACGAAGAGCTCCCACCTCCTCATCCACCAGCGCATCCACACTGGGGAACGTCCCTACAAGTGCTTGGAATGTGGGAAGACGTTTCAGCAAAGCGCACATCTCCTCCTGCATGAGCGGACACACACGGATGAGAGGCCCTTCCGCTGCACCGACTGCGGGAAGGGCTTCAAGCACAACTCCACCCTCGTCAGGCACCGGCGCATCCACACCGGGGAATGGCTCTACAAGTGCTTGGAATGTGAGAAGGGCTTCAGAGACAGCTCCACCCTCCGCTCCCACAAGCGCATCCACACTGGGGAACGGCTCTACAAGTGCTTGGAATGTGGGAAGAGGTTTCAGCGCAGCTCAACTCTCCTGAGGCATGAGCAGACACACACAGATGAGAGGCCCTTCCGCTGCACCGATTGCGGGAAGGGCTTCAAGCACAACTCCACCCTCGTCAGGCACCGGTGCATCCACACCGGGGAGAGGCCCTACAAGTGTGGGGAGTGTGGGAAGAACTTCCTCAGGAGCTTTAACTTGACCTCACACCAACAGACCCACAAGTAAGGGAAAGCCCTACGAGTGCCCCAACTGTGGAAGAGCCTCGGCCGCTGCTTCCACCCCGAATGAAGCCCCTGATGGTGAGGCAACCCCTGGAGTCCAGTGACTGTCAGTCCATCCCTTTCAACCACAAAGGGCCAGTCCCCTTTCCCAGGGGCAGCTTCTTCCAACAGAACCCTTCTTGGGGGTTGTGTGGAGATTCCTGCCTTGGCTGGGGACCCCCCAAGGTCAGTTCTGGAGGTTGAGAGCAGAGATCTCCCCATGAGCTTTGGTCTGGGGGAGTTCCATCCATCTTTAATTAAGAATTATTGCTTTTGTGCCAGCTTGAGTAGAATTGCTTCAAGAATTGCTTTAGTGTAGAGCACTGTCCTATCTTGTGCTCATGGTGGTTTTAGTGTTTCTATTGTGTAGTAAATAATTCTGATGAAGATCTTTTGTCTGATCATTTAGAACCCTAAATAATTCATTTCTATCAATAGATCTGATTTGCCATAATTAAAACCTGGGGGACAAAGTGTTTCAGTCACACCTCTGTAATTCCTCTAAACTGAAACTGTTGTCATAATCCAAGGCTGAGATTGAATCCAGCAGCCCCCAGCACCCCAGAAAAGGGGTTAGGTGGGGTCCTGGGTGGGCTTTGAGTGTGTTTGGGAGTCTTTGAGGGGCCGTGGGGAGGTTTTAGGGGGGTCCCAGAACCTTTTGGTGTGAGCTGGGTGCCTATTGAGGGGCAGGTGCCCTCCAAAAGCCCCCCCAGAGTGGGTTTAGACAGGGGAACACAGGGGGTTCCCCATTCCCAATCCATCTCAGGCCGGTTCTGCCCCCCCCAAATTTGGCTCCACCCCTTGGGATTCCCCCAAGCCCCTCCTCCACTGCCCCCCAATAACCGGGACTGGGCAGGAAGCGGGGAGGGCCCGGCAGTGTCTAACAGAGATAAATCAAGGCAGAGCTCTCTCTTTCTTTTACCCCCTGGGCAGTGACCATCAAGAGGCATCCCTGCTTCACAGCAGAAGCTCCACACACTTCAACAAAGTCTGTGGAAGAATCTGCTCTATGAAAGTTGGCCTTGGGCTTTTATACTTATCCAGTCATGGATGGCCAGCCACATATTGCCAGGCCAGTGAGCAGCTGATCTGTCAAACTCTGCTTCCAAAAGCAGGATGTGTATTGGAAGGTTGGGGAACCAGGCTGGGTTTGGCACAATTCAACATTAAACCAACCCCTTTGGCACCAGCAGTAACTCCCCACAGAGAGCTTGCAGTGCTTGCATTCTCCCATCAGATTCTTTTCCAGGTAGAACATCCTGCTACAAGGGGTCTGTTAGCACCTGTCCCAGAAAGGAGGGGGTAACCCAGGTTCTTAAAAAATCCCTTGGGGTGGATTAGAGTGAAACGACACTTAATAATGAGTGTTTGAAAATATATATATATGTAGGGTTTATTTTAGAACACTTTTGTTTCAAAGGTAAACAGGTATGTTGCCATTTTGGGTGTTATCATCTCTATCTCTCATCTACAACAATGTGGCATAAAGAGAACCTTTAGGGAAAATGCGTAAGGGAGAGAAAGGAAAGACAGGATAAGGGTAAGGGAGAGTAAGGGAAAGCAAAGCTGAGAGTGGAAAGATGTCTATAGTCACTGCCCACGGGGTCCAGCGATGGAACTTGGGAGTTGCAGCTTCCATGTCTGTGAGTTGAAGTGGTGGCCTTGATCTGTTGGGGGTGGAGGAGGGAAACCCCCACACTCCAAGAAGTTATGAGTTATTATATCCATGGATGGTGTCCTGGGCCATGCCACGAACCCCCAACATCTCCTGGGCCTGCGCAGAGTTCCCGTGAGGGGCCTGGGAAAAGGGTTTTTCCTGCCTTTCAGGATTGGCGGGGGGGGATGGGCTTTGATGGGCCATCAGAGGTATAATGCAAAAGTCCTGCAGAAGCCTGCAAAAGTCCCTTGGCAATCCTAGAATGCATAAATCATGAACCATTTCAGTCTCTGACACCACCCCGTGATTTATGCATTCAATAATTTCTCTTCTTTTGTTGTTCACTGTGAATCTTCTTTGTGGGCAGTGCCTTTTGGGTAGTGGACAGAAAGAGAGAAGAGTAAAGAAAAGGAAGAGAGAGCATAAGTCTTTTCCCAGTGCAATGCAATTCCCAGGAAAAACCCCAAACCTTACAGTAAAATAGTAAGCATATGGGACATAACAGGATCTCAATAGCTACCATCAAATTTCCTAACACTAACAAAGTTACAAACAACAGGATTTAATACTGACACAAATCTAATTTTCATTAGCCACTGTCTCCACCCCGTGAGTAATCAGGTATCCTTTAATGCATGGTGTGTGTGAGGGATTCTATAATAATGTGTCTGTTAGAGGGGCCAATGTGTCTTGAAATTGGACCTGAAATTACACATCAGTTCTTATGCAAATACATTGAGTTACTTGGGAGTTGGTACGAGGCCTTCTTGTATTCTCTTCAGGTAACACTTTCCTTTCTTTTGTCTCGATTTAGTTTAATTTGTTAATATTTTGAGAAATTTAGCCAAATATAAAATTTGATGCCTTCTGAGGCAGAGGGTTGTGCAAGTTTGGAGCTGGCTTCCTGCCAAGTCTCCGAAACTCGACAACAGGGTCTCCTTCCCAGAGAGGGAAGGAAAAAAAACGAAAAACCAGGCAGCCAAAAGTCTAGCAAAAAAAATATATATATTTTATGTATAAAACAGAGATATACAATGAGAATTATATATATGAATCTATGACCCCAAATAGCTTCCCGAAGGGAAGAGGGGGAAGGGAGAAGGGAAAAGGATAAAATTGGGTGAGAAGGGACAAAAACGAAACAAATCTACACAATCTAAAAACCCAGCAAAGCGGAAGAATTGGCAAGAGCTCACCACTTCCCTTGAAAGAAAACAGTACGTCTGGACACGGCCCAGCACTCTCTCCTCACACGTGGCCGATAACAGCAGTTACTGTAGGCCTCAGCTCCAGATAAGCCAGGCCCAGACAGGGACCACCGTTCTCCAACCTCGCCGGAAGAGAAGAGAGCGAGCTCTCTTATCAATGCCTTATTTATACCCTAGGTTACGTAAAGGAATAGCATGGAATACTTCCTTGGTCACTTTCCTAGTTCCTTCCTGGTTACAAGCTGGTCTCCAGGAAGGCCTAGACTGAAACCATCACATTCTCCACCCCTTATTCCATACTATTTCTTTACGTAACACCTATATATTGCGTTTGTCTCTATACCGCGCATATACATATATACATATATAGTCCATGTTTATTTTTTCTCGAAGGCTGTCGTCTGTCGTTGAAGAACAGCACCAACAGCAGCTCGGTTTGGGTTCTTGGCCCTTTCGTCATAATCACAGTTCTGGTTTAGGGCTGGCTCATTGGTTTGGGCTGTGTCATCATCGGTCATCCTTGGATACACGTATCGGCTTTGTTCAGGTCTTTCTCGTCTGGTGTCTGGTCTCCTGTAAAATACAACTCAAGGCACAGAATTAGTTTTTCCCCAGGGTTAGGTTTCCTTGGGGCACACATTGGATCTCTCCATCCTTCCTCATAACCCACCAGGTATATCCGGGCCCTTGAGCGAAAACAATCCCACGAATGGGTTTGTCTTGGCCTGAGGGAGGAGTGATCCAAACGGCCTTACCTAACATACCTCTCAGATGGATTGCTGGAACTTTGTCTCCATCTACAGTGTGGAGGGATTCTGCTTGGGCAGGACCAGCTCGGTTGACTGAGCCTCGGGTGTTGACTAGCCAGGTGGCCTTGGCTAAGTTCTTGTCCCAATTTTTGTAAGTTCCCCCACCTAGTGCCTTTAGAGTCGTTTTCAACAGTCCATTACATCTTTCTACTTTTCCTGCAGCAGGTGCATGATATGGAATGTGATATACCCATTCAATACCATGCTCCTGTCCCCAAGTGGCCACTAGACTGTTCTTGAAATGAGTCCCGTTGTCTGACTCAATTCGCTCTGGAGTGCCATGTCTCCACAGGACCTGCTTCTCAAGGCCTAGGATGGTGTTTCGGGCTGTTGCATGCGGTACCGAATATGTTTCCAACCATCCTGTGGTTGCTTCCACCATGGTAAGCACATAGCGTTTACCTTGGCAGGTCTGTGGCAATGTGATATAATCCACCTGCCATGCCTCTCCATACTTATACTTCTCCCAACGTCCACCATACCACAGGGGCTTCAACCTCTTTGCCTGCTTAATAGCAGCACAGGTTTCACAGTCACGGATAACTTGAGAGATGATATCTTTCGCTAAATCCACCCCTCAGTCTCGTGCCCATCTATGAGTGCCATCTCGGCCCTGATGACCCGAAGCATCATGGGCCCATCGAGCTAGGAACAACTCTCCTTTCTGCTGCCAGTCTAGGTCTGCTTGCGAGACCTTGACCTGTGCAGCTCGGTCTGCCTGTTCATTATTAGCATGTTCCTCATTAGCTCGCTTCTTGGACACATGGGCATCCACATGGCGGACTCTTACATCTAGTGTCTTCACTCTGGCAGCGATGTCTCACCACAGATCAGCAGCCCAGATGGGTTTCCCTCTACGCCTCCAATTCATCTTTTTCCACCGGTCTAGCCATGCCCATAGGGCATTGGCTATTATCCACGAATCGGTGTACAGGTAGAGCCTTGGCCATCCTTCTCTCTCTGCGATATCTAGGGCCAGTTGGACACTTTGAGTTCCACAAACTGACTCAATTCACCTTTACCTTCAGTGGCTTTCGCCACTCATCAGGTGGGACTCCAAACAGCTGCTTTCCACTTCCAGCTCCTCCCTACAATACGACAGGAACCATCGGTGAAAAGGGCATAGAGTCTTTCTTCATCTGGCAGCTTATCATATGGCAGAGCTTCTTCAGCTCAACTCACTGGCTCTTCTTCTTCTTCTGCCAGACTGAAGTTCCCACCTTCAGGCCAATTGGTTATGATTCCCAAAATGCCAGGGCGATTCGAGTTCCCGATTCGTACACGTTGCGTA